CCTGGAGCAGCGTGGCGCGGTTACTTGTTAGTGCGGTGCTTATCCGATTGTCAGGTGACTGCGGTTTTGTAGAGGACGAAGTAGGGTAAAAACCTGACCCAAAATGCACGTTGACTGGTCTAGAATTTCTCAAGAGCAGGTCTGTGGCATAGTGCAGAAGTACAGTGCTTTTCTGAGCTGTAAGATAGAGTGCTCTTGCTAAAAAAGAAAGATCCTGTCCTACATTTAGTTTACAGATCGAGAACTTGAGGGATGGGGGAAAGAAAAGAAGAAATATCACTTTCCGTGTAGAACAAGAAGAACAACTATTCTGGTTACTGAAAGGATGAAAGAACAACGCAGTTTTATCCCCCAGATTTTGGGGGATTTCTGTAACCAGAGGGAAGGAAGAGTATGAAAAGCCGAAACGATGTCTGGGAAAGGTAGGGAAAAAAATAGGATCTATGGAGAAAAAGATGAGATAGTAATGCAGAGATAGGAATGTAAAGGGAAATGGTAGTGATACAGAAGCGGAGATGGAGAGGCCAAGTGCTGCAGTATGGTATTGTGTTGCTTCTCAGCTAGAACTGCGTGTCTGGTCAGCAGGGCTGCAGCATCCTCTTGCAGCCTTGATCTGTGGAGGTGAAAAGAACATGTGCACTCTTGGGGAGAGTCCTATGCTCCTCCTCACCACCTCTTCCCGGGTGGAGGTGGCAACTGCTCTTGTCTGGGCCTAGATTTTATCTAAATGAGGTTGCGTATGAGCATATGTTAAGTGCTTAGGATGTTATTTCGGGAAAGAAAATGGCCGTGGGTACATTTGTGATAGTTTTGTGTGGGGTTTCTGTTTTGCTTGTATTTTGTAGAAGTCTCAGGAAAGGTCATTGTCATAGCATGTACTAGACTTTTTCAAGGTCATAGTTAAAGCGTGTAGCACGAGTTAGCCTAGGTACATAAATTAATGTATGCAAGACTTGATAAGGAGTTCTTCTGCCTATGACTCTTCACTGCAATTGTTTTCTTTAGAAACGGATTCAGTGAGCAACCGTTGATTGCTCTGTTATGGATTCTTGGAGTTGTAGAACTTTTCTTCCAGCCAACTTTCTATTAAAAGTTTACCTCATTTAGAACTTTGTGGTATAGCTGTCCACTTCCTGCTTTTCGATGACCTTCGCAAGGATCATTGCTAAAATACTTGTGTGGAGGTAGATGACTGGCTTTTTTACACTGATTGGTTTGCTTTATCTCTTTGGGCGGGGATTGTTTTGTGAAGAGGCTTGGTAAACGAAAGAAAACTTTCATATTTCACTTACTTTGTTGCTTTTGTTAGTAGCTCTTATTCCTAGGTGTTAAATGCAGTATTTCTGCACTGCCTTCTCTCTTGCCCTGGGAGTTGCAACTTCAGTTTCACTTTTTGCTTAAGTAGGCAAAATGTAGCATTTAGACAACAGTTGGAAGCTGCTTTCCCAGTGGTCATAAGAATTTGTCTAAACTTTTTGGGTGTGGTGTGTGGTTTGGTTTTTTTTTTTGCTTTAGCTTTGAAATTTAATAACACCATTGGAATTTATTTGAAGAAATAGTTATTCAGTTAGGTCCATGGGACACAGTCTTCCTCTACCCAGCTTCCCTATGTTTGTGCCATCAGCAGAACTTGAAAATACACCGACTGCCAGAGATGCTAAATCTATGTGGTTGTTAACGGCAGGAGGAGGGAGTGAGGAACAGTGTGTTGGTACTCCGGTATTACCATTACTGTCAGCACCTTGCACTTTCATAAATGGTGCTGTCATTCTCACGTTGAGTAACAGTTGTATCTGTTTGTTGCCAGTAGGTTTAATCAGGTACTGAAGTCCACTTTTCCCTTAGTCAGGGTTTGGAAAACTATTAAGCTAGGCTCCTAGAAAACAGAAATCTAATCTGGATGAAGATACTTGGTTAGTAATTTGTCAAGTATCTGAAAGCAAGTAGCTTTGCTAGTTCCAGCTTACTATGAAACAGTTAAAGTTTTTAGCACTGACAGAGACAATATACTATCTGGAAAAACAACTTCAGTTAACATCATGTAGTATTTGCAACTGTATCTTCAAAACCTGCTACTGCTAAAAAAGCAATTTTGAAAAGAACTGAAATAATTTACATCAATACCAGTTTCATAAAATGAACATTAGGTAATTGCCTAATCTCTTTGTGGTTATTTTGCTAGTTCTCACAAAAGAATTAAAGAGTCTCAGAGGATTTTTGTAGTACCTAACTGCAAAACTATGTGTACTCGGATATTGAGGTGCTTCCTTGTATTAGGAAGGATATATCTGTTTCATTTAAATTCAAAATTGTAAAACTCTGTAGGCCTAGGTGGGAAGTGTTTCATGAATGGAATTAAGTGACTGCAGAGTACTAGAAATGCTGGATTTCAGGAGGAAAAATGAGAGATACTTGCAGTAAACAAACCTTTTAATAGTAAGAGTAGTTGGTGCAAAGACAGGATTTGAAGGCCAATACTTCTTTCTAGGATGAAGAGTTGTGGTTTTTTCCAAGGTGCACTTGTCTGTATTTTAATACAGAACTGTGCTTTGTAAGAAATTTTATTTACCTTTCACAGTTAAGGTGGTTTTGTGTAAAACAGGTGGTGTTTTATTTAAGTATTTTGTTCTCCACAATCGTATCTTAAATACTAAAACCATTTTGATGCTCCTATTCCAGCTAAGCTTCCAGAAGCAGTAACTCCTTTCCTGTACTCTGTCTGTTTAATGGTTCCTTCAGTTGGATAATCATCGAAGTGCGTGTTTGTCTCTCATCAGATATTGTTCCAAGGCCAATTTTGTTTTCTGTGAAGGAATTTTTACTCATTCTTGAGAATGTAGGAGTATAGAGGATTTAAGGAATGTTATGCATTGCCCTTTTTTTCTTTTTCTTTTTTTTTTTTTAAAAGGGCTTTCACTACTGGCACAGCAAAACTTCCTTTTTGTTCAAGCCCTTGGAAGTCTTTGTCTGCTGTCCTTCATTTCCCTATTAAGTTTTTAGAACTTGTTTTTAACACTACAAAGTATAAGATTTACATTCTTGGGAGAGAGTGAGGAGAGTCATTGTTCTGTTAGCAACACTTCTACTGTCATGAACCAAAGTACAATATCATGTCAGGAGTCTCTTTATATGTATTTTGGGTTAATGGAAAATGATTGACTTTCAGATATTCACAGTCCTTACAGTCTATGTGTTTCCTATTATTAGCTGATGAAGTCACAGACTTGTACAGATAATGTTACGAATATCATAGTAATAGGTTGGAGCATGAAGATGTGAGAGTTCAAACTGCCACATGCTGTAGTGTTTTATGTAATGTCAGACATTTTCATCCTTCAGTTGTGTACGCTTTTTTCACATTGTTTTATTTTGGTTTTTGTTTTTTTTCCCATTATCTAACTTTTTGTTTTCCCCCCCTTAAATGTTTTGGTGATTCTCCAGAACCAACGAAACGTATGCTTTCCTTCCAAGGGTTAGCGGAGTTGGCTCATCGTGAGTATCAGGCAGGAGACTTTGAAGCAGCAGAGAGACACTGCATGCAGCTTTGGAGACAAGAGCCTGATAATACTGGTGTGCTTTTATTACTATCGTCCATTCACTTCCAGTGTCGCAGATTGGACAGGTAGGAGACTTGAGATGTTCTGTCAAGCTTTCTTTATAATTTGCACCTCTAACAGTACTGAGCATAGCTGACAAAGTTCTGTTCTAACACTGATTTCTTTTTTTATCACTGAATGTAAATACTGACTAACTTCATGGCAGCAGTAAGGACTGGTCAAAAATAACATTCTTCCTTTTTGAGTTTTGTTGGGTAAGAGAAATACAAATTGGAATTGCTAGCTTTACAACAAACAACAGATCTTGCCATTATTTTCATGTAATATTGTACACATTAATATTGGAGTGTCAGCCAGGCTTGGGTGTACTGGAGGTATTTACATGTGTAAACAAAGGCTTTGGTTTGTTTATTCCACCGGCAGCATTGGGGGTCTGTGATTTTTTTTTTTTTTTTTTGTTTCAAGTTGCAAGACAGATTGTTTGCTGCAAAATGGCATGATCAGTTAAGGATTTTTGTCATCTGAAAGTTACCTCTATATTCTTTCTGCTTCCCTGTTCCTGATCTTGCTTTCTGTGCCTCAAGCATTTTGAACTTTACTTGTTCTACCTGTAAATCTGTGTGTGCTGGTGAAGGAAGTTAGAACTTTTGACTGAGATTGATTTTATGTAGGCTTCTGAATGAGGTTGTAATAACAATTCAGATACGGGAAAATAAAATGAGGGAAGGATACAACAGAATTTTACATTTATGTCTGTCAGCTATGTCCTGCTTCTTGAAAAGAGTATCAAGTGGAACATTGCTTAAAGCGTACAGATGTTAGAAGAGACTTCACAGGATTTCTGTAGTGTTTTCTCAAAGTGTGTTGAGTTCAGGTTTGATGAAGTGACTTGAACCCTCCTGATTGTAAATGAGAGTTGTCTTTCTTTAGTAGAATCTAAAGCAGGAGCTTAAGCTAGGAGAATCTAAACGTACAAGACAGCTCGGTAAGTCTAGATTGTTGGCTGTATGTTTGGCTCACTTAAGCATGAATGTTCATTAGGTAACTAGGTAAACAGGCAAACACTGAAAGTCAAGGGTGGGGTTTTTTGGTTGTGTTTTGGTTTTTTGTTGTTGTTTGTTTGGTTTGTGGTTTGGTTGGTTTTGGTTTTTTTTTTTAATTGAAAACTTCTCTAATTTTCTCCAGGTCTGCTCACTTCAGCACTTTGGCTATTAAACAGAATCCACTGTTGGCTGAAGCCTACTCGAATCTAGGCAATGTGTACAAGGAACGTGGACAACTACAAGAAGCAATTGAACATTATAGACATGCCCTACGCCTCAAACCAGATTTCATTGATGGATATATTAATTTGGCTGCTGCGCTGGTAGCTGCAGGTGATATGGAAGGAGCAGTACAGGCATATGTGTCTGCCCTTCAGTACAACCCTGTAAGTAATACTTTATTTTATAGAAGAACTCCATACTTCACTATTGGCCCAGGGCACACAAATAGCAGGTTTCAAAGAACAAACAAGTGATAACCCTTCCCTCTAGGCTGTACGCCATAAACTTAATGGTCTACTTGATACTTTTCTTAAGGATGTTCTGTCACAAGAAGTTTTATATTGCAATACACTAAGGGCTGCTGGTTGCATACTTATCTGTATTGAGATAACAGAAAAGCAAGGAATATTTTTTTTTTCCCCTGAAGTCAGAAGTTTCAGTGAATAACATCATAATTAGTTTTGCGTGCTTTAAGGCAGTGTTATTACAGTGAGAGAATCACTGCTCAGACTTGAATGTGAGGTCTTGAAAAATCGTCAAGTATTGCTTTATCACTAAGTCAGAAATTTCTTGGTGATGAGAGTTTCCTTGGTTAGATTTCCGCTGTGGATGGGTTTACGGAAGCATCATTTTTATGTTCTGTAGGCTGAAACTGAGTATCTGTCTATAAGTGACTCTTATAAAAGAGATCTCATGTTTGGATTTTTGTTGTAACTATCTTGAATTGACGTTTTTAGTAAACAGTATATCAAATGGCTATCTTTTATTTATTTTGCATCATAAATAATTTGTATAGTACTACTCAGCATGATGAAGGTATCTGCTTGCTATTTGGTCATACATTTTGTCAAAAAAAACCTTATATGCAGCATCGGTCTGGTGTGCATATATCCTTTTTCCTTTAGAATAGCAAATGCAAACCCAGTCCAACAAGAGCTCAGAATATTGTTTCACTGTGTTCTTCAGTCTAGGTGAACTTGTCTAACCTACTATGCTAGGTAGTGTGTCTAGTGGAGTTTATGCACTGGTTAGAAATACTGTAAGATGGTATTTTCTTACAGGAGTTGAGTTTTGTTTAGGTTAGAAACTTCTTTTGTTAGTGTTGACAAAAATGTCCTACTTCTCTGTGGTCTTTACTGCTAGATAATGCAGTTGCCTGTGCTGTGGTTACAAATGAAAGAACAAGAACATGTGGCAAGGCTGTTGAAAATGGGTGGGTTACTGGGGAAAAGCAAGAATAAAAACTGCTTTGGGGATACAGGAAGCAAAATCACTATATATAATCTATTTAAAAGCCATAATGGCAATGGCATAAGTTAAGAATACAGATTTGTAGTCATACTTTTAAAAAAAAAAAGGAGGCTTCAAATACTTGCATGTGACAAGAACTTAGGCTGCTTGCAGGGAGGGGCAGTTATTTTTGGTTTTATATTTCTGTATGAGGAGGAATTGTATGAAATATTACTTTCTTCATACTTCTTTATGGTTATATTTTTACAGCAGTAGTATCAGTAAGGTTATCTGTTGACTGTAATGTTAGGTCAAGAAAAATAATTTACATTTGTGATGTGTTTATTAAGAATTTGAAAAACTGTAGAGGACTGGGGTGTTCCTTTGCAAGTTGTCTGTTGAAGACCTTTGGGGTGTCTGAAGTCCTGAAGCTGATAGTGTGACTTTGATTTTTCAGGACTTGTACTGTGTTCGTAGTGACCTGGGGAACCTGCTCAAAGCCCTGGGTCGCTTGGAAGAAGCCAAGGTAGGTGTTGGGTAGAATACATGTAAACGTCAGTGTTTTGAAAATTTGAACTTTGCACCAAGTCTTCAAATCTGCGTTGATCTACAGACAGTCTGAGAAACTGCTGAAAACTGAAGGCACTGAAACACCCCAGAGTAGTTGCAGGGCAAGATGTGGCATGTCCATGTTTAAAAGTTGGTTTAAGTCAAGAAATGGAACATTACCAAGCCTTTCTGCTGAACTAGACTATCTGATACCATTCTGAAGTATCGGGCAGGGGCTCCATCATGCTCTTATCTGGAAATAAGTAACAGTCCTTCAAATCTGAGGCTTGCCTGCTGGTGCCAAGCAGAGAGCCTGTGGTTAGCTCGAGATCCCTGTACGATGCAGGTGCTATTGAAAATGCTGCTCTTCTAAAGTCCTTTGTGGCTTGTAAGTGGAGAAGAAACTTATCCAAATGTTACCTTGTAATATTGGCTTTTAAAGATTTTTATTCTTTTAACTTTTCCCTTCCCTTGATAGTGGAAGAAAGGCTAGTAAATGATCAATAGCTGCAGTATGTGAACCCCCCGAATATCTTTTCTTCATGTCTTCCCTCTCCCCTCCCCCAAAATAAAGAAATCAGAAGGACAAAGCTGGTTTGTTTGGGAAATGAACTGATCGAAAGAAAACTTGCTGTAGTGGAAAGGTGGCTTCTAGCAGTCTTGTGTTTCCTAAACTGAGAATTTGAACACCAAGATGAGTTTAAAATTCTTGGCATGGTAAAAGTTGGATTGCACAAAGAAATTGTCTTGTTACAAGCCACCTTACGCGTCCGCGCTGCAGGGGTGAGGAGTGTGGAGAAATCGGAAACACTCTGGACTCCACGTCTGTCACTCCAAGCCCCACGCGCATGCTAAAAAGTGGAGTGTATGAACAGCGTAGCTGTCTGTTTGGCTGCAGCACCATTTGGGGAGGGTTATGATCTTTATGGGGTAGTGGGAGCATAGGTTCAAAGTTCATTGTTTTTTTTTATTTCTCTTAACAACTTGGATGTGTGTACCATCCTAGGGCAGCCTAATTGATTTGGTCAGATCCAGGTTGAAAATATTTTGTTGCAGCATTTACGGTTTGAACAGTCTTTGAGACACTTGGTTCTCAGCCCACCAAGCGGACAGCTAACATGAATTGCACTTCACTGCAGCTTTAGTGTGACTGGTATAGGCCAAGACACTGCGCCTGCCTTAGGTTGCTGACTTCTTTGTTTCAGAGCTCTGGAGACACCTAGTTTGAAAGTGTTATTCCGTTTTGTGAGAACTTAATAAACGAGGAAAAACATCTTGAGTAATTGCAATGTGTTTCTTTGGTTATCAGTCCATTTGAAAGATCAAGCCAGCAGATTCCTTACAGTTTGAACTAAAATTTAATTTCTTTGTAGATATTTCAGAGCCTTTCTTCCAAAAAAAAAAAAAGTCCCTGCTGTATGCAATTGCCCTGATTAACCCTCTCCCTTCTGCATGTCTCCCTTGTTACAGACAGATTGTCCTCATTCCCATGTGTTAAGACATATCCAAAAAAATGCAATTGCTTTGTTGAACTCTTACTAATGATCTTGTTTTATTTTCTCTCTTGTTTTTGGTTTTTCACCACTGATATTGTATTTAGAAGGTTTCAGGTGGGTGAAACCTCCTATTCCATGCGTAAGGTGCCTCGCTGAAGGGAGCTCGAGGCCTGGATCTAGGGCAGACACACACCTCCTCCTCCTCTTCCAGCAAGGAACGCACCGAAAAGTCACATGATGAGAAATATGGTAACGGGTTTGTAACTGCCACAGCAAAACCATTTGCCTCCATGCCTGAATCTTCTGTCTTGTGGCTTCAGAAACAGCTTAAAATATTTAATTACAAACAAGTAATGTAAGAATATTTTATACTAGTAGCCACAAATTCTTTCAAAGAAATAAAGTAAAAGTAAATTAAAATATTTTTAAAAGAAATAATTGGAGATAGTTAATAGTAAAAGCTTCTAACTCTTCTGGTTGTTCATTTTTTTCCTTTTTTCTTCTTTGTTTGGATTGCAGCGTTCTGCTCTTCTGATGATGCGCTGTGATCCTGCAGTAGCGCAAAGGCTGCGCAGCGGTAACGCGCATTGCGTGCGATTAAGCCCTCGTGAACGGTTGACTAGATGATTAATCTCTGATTGGGTGACTGCCCAAGCTCCAGGCTGTAGCCTTTTGGATAAAATTGGGTTGTAACGCATTTAGAGTCCAGACATCAAATTTAGTATGTGAGTTTCTGTATGGGCCTGTCTGGTAGATTAATGATTCTGGTTGGCCGTTCACTGGACCTAGGGGCATTCAATATAGCAAAGCAGTTCGCAGCGATAGCGTGGCGCCGTGCTGTTTAGGATGCGCAGCGATTTCTTGCGCTTGCATTACAGGGACCTAAACCTTCATGCAATCCTGTCATTTGAGGTTTTGAAGCTGCAGATGATTGAATGCATTTGAAGAAGCTGGGAAACAAGATAGGGATTGGTTGTGTCATCTCACTTGACAAGGACAGTTAAAACCAAAGAATGGCTTCTTTTTCAGTAGTTTTTCTAATTTTTTTTAAAGTAATTTCTATCTGTTCTAGAATATTTCACAATTTAATTTTATTTCACAGCAAAGTTGTTTTTACAGGCTGATTTTTTTTGTTGTTGTTTTTTTACACACTTTGGGGTGCCAGATATTTCCGCTGAACTACTTGAGTTGTTTCTGAGTTGGTTTCTGTGGTGACCTTGTGTCTAAAGGCATATTCATTTGTTATCAGCATAACTGAAAAATGGTGGGCTTGCACCTGGGTTTTGGTTTTGCGCTGGCGCAGGATCAACAACAGTTTGCAGCGCATTAGTTTTGGCGCAAGCTAGCCTATACTGCAGGGTCACTTTTGGCTGGTTAGAGAAGGCATACTAACAATTATTTTTTCTCATTTTTTTTCTTTTTACAAATATTCCCCATCCCTTGTATCTCTCTTCTTTAACTGTTCCAAGGCCTGTTACTTAAAAGCAATTGAGACTCAACCAAACTTTGCAGTGGCTTGGAGTAATCTTGGCTGTGTTTTCAATGCCCAAGGAGAAATTTGGCTTGCAATTCATCACTTTGAAAAGGTAACTATCTAAGCCAGTCAGCTTCACTGCTAGAGATTTTAATGTACCTACCATTGTGTGCTTGTAGATGATGGAAATATTTTGATCAGCAGAGAATTTCTTATGGTCCTGTTAGTTGACATTCTATGTTAATTTTTACTTCCTGATATTTCAGACTGCCTGTATGCCACTAGAGAGATATGTTTAGAATTGCCCTAAGGACTTCACACACAAGTCAAATATAAGAAAATTCATTCAGTTGTTTTACAGTCCTTTTCCAGAATAAATTTTTTTAAAATCTGATGTGTTGGGAATAATGTTTTACATGTTTTGTGTGTGAGAGGGAGAAACCACTTTCTGCTTAAAATCATTTTCCATTATGATTTTGTTTTAGGTATTACTGTCCTTTGAGAAACTGAGGAGAACAATTCTAAGTGACGTACTAATTCCTCTTCTCCAGGATTATTTTTCACCACTATTGTTTCAGACTTCTCATTTTAGCTAGTTTTCTGATACTTTCTAGTTAGTATCTAGTTAGCATCTTAATTCAATTTGTACTCATTTCATCTGTTTTCTTTTAGTTAAGTGACTACTGAAAAAAAAAAACACATGATGTATTTGCTCTTTTCTCCCTCTTGTGAAACTCTCTTTGTTTTCCTGGACTGCTAAAGTTTTAAAGTACTGTCTTATTTTGCAGTAGATAAAGAATACGGATCAGGTTTTTCAGGGTTTTCTTTCCTAAAAACAAATTGAAGACAGCATAGGATGGGTAGGCAGGAGTGTTAAGTATCATCAGACTAACATGAAATAAATGTTTAACACGTTATTCTGCAGTAGTTGCAACTGAGTAGGTAAGCAAATTAATAAATTTGAAGGTAGTGTATGCTGTTGTTCCTACAGGTAAATAACTTCAATGCTGTCTGATTTATATAACTTTTTTTTCCTTTCTTACTAGGTTATTGATAAAGTCTTAGATGCTTACAGATTGTGTTTATCAAATTTTAAAAAAACCAAAACCAACTAGATTTCATAGAGAATGTTTCTGTCTTAATGCTCAAAACTGTTACTTAAAAAATATTTTCAGGCTGTAACACTTGACCCAAATTTTTTGGATGCTTACATCAATCTGGGAAATGTCCTGAAGGAGGCAAGGATATTTGACAGGTAAGCAGATAAGTACTGTCGCTCTATCAGACGTATCGAGATACAAATTAGGTTACTGATGTAAAATCTCTTCAGACAGTATGACAGTGACTTCTACTGTAAGCTAAGCAAGCGAGTGGCTTTGAACTGCATACAGAGCAGGTTACTGGAATAAAAAAAAAATAGTCCTATGGAATGTATTCTGTTGTTAACTTTCTTGTACTTTAAATGTTAAAAATGAGAGTTTCTGCAAGTACTGATGAAAATAGATTTGCAATTAAGACTGGGGATGGATAAAGATAAGATGTCCAAAAAAGGCACGAATCCTTGAGTTCTCTGTTTTCATTATGTGATTCAGGACATAATCTACAAGTGTGTCTCTTCTTAAAATTTTCCTTCTACGTAAGACAGGAGGAAGTGCTGAAATTCAGCTAAGCATCTGACTGAATATTCTGTATTATGTGTCGACATCATGTTACTGCATTGGGTTGCAGTGCTGTTGCTGTCTTCCTGAACTAACTTGTTTTGCGACCTCTAATCTGATACATGAATCTTTGTTTCTGGAAGAAGATCCAGGCTGTGTTGTTTATGTGCAGTGTATCATATTGCATCATTAATTGGATTATAGTTTCTGGTGGCTGTGGTTTGTGGCTCCAAATTTAATAAAAGCTTGCAGGGAACAGGTTAATTATTCTAACTAGTTACATTGCTCACAGTGTAAATCATTGAGTGATTTCTGTTTTAACCACCAATTGATGGGCCAAACGGACATGTTTCCTCATTTTAGACTTTATATCAGCTTTTTGAGAATTTACTTACTACATATACTGCTGTGATTCTTCTAGAAATCAGATTTGAATACATCAATCATACAGTGCTATAGGGGCATATAATTAATCTCACTTTTGAACAAAGTGAAGTTTGAAGTATAAGCAAAGCATGATACATATGTTAGGTTAGCGGAGAGGATAAAGACAGGTAATAATATGATACAGTTTTATTATTACAATTGAATAATAAACTGGGGAAAAAAAAACAGAGCGAAGGTCTCATGCATATAGTAATGAAGAGTGTTTAAAAAAGGTAGACGAAAGCTTTACTTTTTGCAGAAGAGTTACGTTGATCACTATACAGCATCAGGTGAGAGGAAAACATTCCTGTTTTATGAAGGATTTCTTCTAGTCTGCTAGTCATTACAGAATTCAGCATAGCTTTAAAGTAACATGGATTATTATAATTCATCCCTTGATTGGACTTTAATTCAGGCAATACTCTTCAGTGTTTTCAGTAACGTCTTACAGGACGGATTTGTGTGTGCTAATAATACATATCCCTTGAAGTTTGGGTTTTTTTTTATGTAGGTTGTTTTTATCACCAAGGTAAATATAATTGCTGCTCCGTGTACGATTGTTTACCTTCTCTTTCTTGTTACAGAGCTGTAGCAGCATATCTACGAGCCTTGAGTTTGAGTCCAAATCACGCAGTTGTGCATGGCAACCTTGCCTGTGTGTATTACGAGCAAGGGCTAATAGACCTAGCAATAGACACCTACAGGAGGGCTATTGAACTACAACCCCACTTCCCTGACGCCTATTGTAACTTGGCCAACGCCTTGAAGGAGAAAGGCAGTGTAAGAAGTACTTCTTTTCCTTTTAAAAATTTTTAAAAGCACACTGAATGTTCTTTAGACACCAGGTGTCACCAACTTTATTAAGATCGGATGTTACCCTCATTTAGTTAGTCATAAGGAAGAACAACTCAGGAAATCTCCACCTTGAACCTGTTAAAAGTAATTGTATAATGACTTCTCATCAACAGTGCTGTTACAGTTATACCGTATTAACAGTATCCCTTTTTTTGAAGGTGGTAGAAGCAGAAGAATGCTACAATACAGCTCTTCGGCTTTGTCCCACGCATGCAGATTCTCTCAACAATCTAGCAAACATCAAACGGGAACAGGGGAATATTGAGGAAGCTGTCCGTCTTTATCGGAAGGCTCTTGAGGTACAGTTGAATGTGGTGAGGGAGAGAGGGGGAACTGAAGTGGGGAATGTGTAATATGACATAGGGTTTTTTTCCCCTCTCTGGTCATAAGTGGAGGAATGTCCACTCAGCCCTGAGCCATATTTAAAAAGTAAGAAATTAAGAAGTGTTTGGGGTTTTTTCATATGGTCTACTTGGGGCATTTGAGAGACAGATTCTACTTCTTTTTTTTTTTGCAGGTGTTTCCAGAGTTTGCTGCTGCACATTCAAATTTAGCAAGTGTTCTGCAGCAGCAAGGAAAGTTACAGGAAGCTCTCATGCATTACAAAGAGGCTATTAGGTAAATGGATACTCTCTGTAATAGTTCCAGCCTTTCATAACCGGAAAGTGCCATAGATTTATACAGAAAGTGACTTACAGTAGCGTATTTTTGGTTTGCAAAGCAACCATCTGAATTAAAAGTCTGGGTATGGTTTCTCATTGGAGGAGGAGGAATTTTTATTGTTCATGACATATTATCTTTATTTCTCAGAATCAGCCCCACATTTGCAGATGCTTATTCTAATATGGGAAATACTTTGAAGGAGATGCAGGATGTTCAAGGAGCTCTACAGTGCTACACCCGTGCCATTCAGATAAACCCAGCTTTTGCTGATGCCCACAGCAACTTGGCCTCTATTCACAAGGTAGCACATGGGAATGATTCACTCTCAGAGTATGGTGGGGCACTGTGAGTACTTACCCTGAGTGTATTTTTACCTGCTGAGTTATTTGTATGTTTTATAGGATTCAGGGAATATACCAGAAGCCATTGCCTCTTACCGCACTGCTCTGAAACTGAAACCTGATTTTCCAGATGCCTACTGCAACTTGGCCCACTGTTTGCAGGTGAGGAAGACAAGGCTTTGCCTGTAATTCTTAAGATTCCTCTGCATCAAATGCCAAGCTTGATCACCTCAACCAATCACTAACATAAATGTAAAGAGTAGACTTAAGTGTTAAATCAGTAGAGAAGATTACACAGTCATCAGCAGTAATTACTGAAGTTCTTGCTTCCATTTTTGGAAGAATCATTAGTCTCAACTTGTGAAATAATCTGATATAGATCAAAGGAAGCTGTTGTCCTAATATTCTTTTAATTTTTCCTTTTTCTAGATTGTCTGTGACTGGACAGACTATGATGAAAGAATGAAGAAGCTGGTTAGCATTGTAGCTGATCAGCTGGAGAAAAACAGACTGCCTTCTGTCCACCCACATCATAGCATGCTGTATCCCCTTTCTCACAGTTTTAGGAAGGCTATTGCTGAGAGACATGGAAATCTGTGTTTGGACAAGGTAGGAAGTTTTATACAGGCCAATTGTGATTGATATACTTAGTGGTTTTGCCTGTTCCTACTGAAAATCTAATACATAGTATTAGCCTTTGTAAGGTTGCTGAGTCACTGACTTGTAGAGACATAGGACATAGCATTACTCATCTAGTTTTGCAAAGTACATGTAGGAGACGTTTTGGAAAAGCAGAGTGAGTAAATTATTATTTCTTGACAGTAAAACAGATCCAGGCAGCTATGTGATAGTATTTCTCAAAATCTGGTCCTTTCCAGCGTATGTAGTGCTTGGAACCTGACCTTGTCTGTAGTGAATCCTTGCTGGAACGTGTGAGCTGTATGTTTGGCTCTGGGATTTCCAAATGCACTCACTTTAGTGTTGATGGCAGCAATGTCACAGAGGTGATGCATCACAGTAGGAAATACTTCAGTATTCATTGTGATTCTGTTTTGGAGTACTCCATGTACAGTAGAATAGATTCTTCCAAAAACATACTTTACTGTAACTACTTAATTGTGTGCCATTTCCATGAGACTGCGCAGCACCTCAAACCGCCAAAAGCGAGGTTGCAGTCGATGGCAAATTCTTTAACTAAAATGTGATGCAACTTCTTTTTCTCTTTAACCAGAGAGTCATAGCTGTTGAAACTTGTGAATGTTGAGACTGGCTGCTTGAGCCGATTGCCAGTTATGATTTAAAATATGCTGTCAGCCAGTGGAAGCGTCTGGTTAGCTAATGTAAAAATCTCAAACTTCAGAAGACAACACTTAGCTTTCAAACTGACTTGTCTTAATAGCCCGATAATCCTGTCAGTGATAATGACTACAAGCTGATGTCTGGAAAAGATGGTGAGCGTAAGAAAGCGTGCTGTGGTGCTTCATAGGAGTACTGTTCTGGTCACAACTGGCTTGTTGTTTGAGAAGTTCTTGCTCATAGGGTTGTGGTATCAGTATTTTTAATGATCAGGGGTGGAATACTTAAAAAATAAACTGGTAGAAAAGCAGAAATGTCAACTTGCAGTAGTGATGTCTGTCTTTATTTGGCTGAATGTTACGAGATGTCACATACCTACACAGTTTGTGGACATCATGCTTGGCTCCACTGGAATACATACAACACAGGTTTGAAACAACAGATGCCCACAGACCACTCACTTGAATGTGGGAATAAGGCTAATTCTACAAACTCGTGGGTTCTTTTTTTTTTTATCCCTCTGTTTAGCATTTGGCTTTGGTGCCTGAGTTTATAAACAGTTGTGTATGTTTTCTTGACAGATTAACGTTCTTCACAAGCCACCATATGAGCATCCCAAGGATTTAAAGGCCAGCGAAGGTCGACTTCGTATTGGCTATGTGAGCTCTGATTTTGGAAACCATCCAACCTCACACCTAATGCAGTCAATCCCAGGCATGCATAACCCAGACAAATTCGAGGTAAAAATGTAAATGGCATGCTTAAAGCTTTAAATATGGCTGGTTTTTGTTCACTCTCTTCTGCTGTTTTTTAATGCATTTTTCTCTGGGATACCTGAATCACAAACATGAACTTCAAATTGGTCTGGCTACTGCTTTTTCAAAAGGAAATAATACACTACACTTACTCCAGGAGGAGTATATACAGTTTAGCAATGCTAAAGACAGTCATGTCTATATTTGTTTGGGTGTCATGTTAAGGATTTGAGGCTGTAAATAGAACTAGTTCCCGGTTACTTTGCTTGCCCCATGACTGTTTAAATTGCCTTGGTTTTGAGCTCCAGTTTTCCAAGACATGAGAACTTGCTTATGTTTGTAAAGGATTGTAAGTCTTCCTTTCTTGCAATAGTGTTTTTTATTAATCTTTTTGGTTGGTTGGTTTTGGGCTTTTTTCCCCCTATCTTCTTGCTTTTTCTGGGTTGTAACGTCTTGTTGTAGTCTGAAATCCTTTTGGCAAAGCTGCATGCTTGAATAGTTATCAGAAGTGTGACTATGAAGCAGTTTCTTTCATGAAACAAATTGGTGGTCTGAGTATGTGAGGTGTGGGGAGAATATACCATTTAACCTTGAATCAGCTCAAGACAAAGGATAGCCTTTGTTCTGGATTTATAAAACTCTACAGAACTTCATTTAAATACTAAGTAGATGTTATCTATTATTTTACTAAAACCATGCTTTTGTCCTGCAAGGTAATAAATTCTCTGTGTATTGGTTCTATTTGTTCTATATCTATATATGCTAGGTTAGCTGAAGATGCCTGTTTACATAACGGGTCAACTTTGAGTTTCTCAGATACATTTACAGTTTCTCAATTGGAGAGAACTGGTCACTGTTTAAAGAATCTGTTAAAAAGCTTCTGCAAGGCTTAGCTTGTCTGCTCAACATGAGTCAGTTGTGATTCTCACTACTCACAAGTTCAAAAATGTCTTGTAAAAGGTGTTCTTAAGAATTTAATCATAGAATCACAGAACGGTTTGGTTGGAAGAGACCGTAAAGATCATCTAGTTCCAACCCCCCTGCCATGGGCAGGGACACCTT